GGTGGGGGAGAGTTCTGATAGGCATACCTAGGGTGTTGTGGAGGGGACTCCCGGCTGTCCCGACGAGGATTCTCAATGGTCATAGCCGGTACGGCCAGGGGACTGCTTATATCAATATGACAGACATAGACACTACCTTCATTAACACGATGCACCGCATACAACTTAACCACACAGCTATTAAATATTTAGGAGTCCAACTGACAACTTCCCCCGACCAATTATATGTACAGAACTATGTTCCTCTTTTTAAAGAACTGATCAGCAATCGAACTAAATAGGTAGATAAGCCTATATCGTGGATTGGCAAAGTGCACTCAGTTAAAATTAAAAAACATCCACCCTTGAATTCTATTTATGTTTCAGGCCTTGCCAATCCCTATCACCAAAACAGATCTGGCACCGCTTCAACAGTAAATAGGAACCTTTTTTTTTTACATTCTTTATTTTTCATATTGGTACAGGTAACACAATTCAAGCAACAGTAATGTATAAGTACAGTGAACCATACTTGCATTGAATACACAACAGTATTACAGTATACATTTCACAGCTCCAGTGACAAACTACTTTAACAAGCTTCCTCTCTCACTGAAGTGGGAAAGCGGCATTCTTTAGCATCATTAGAAGAGTGGTTTGATAAAACAAAACTATTAAAAACATTCAATAGTATGATTACATTGAGGGGAATGCTTCAGATTAAGTAAGTCACAAGAATTATCGAAATAAACTCACATTGAATTTTAAACAGGTGAGATGTTTAATACTAACATTCAGGGGGTGGAGGTGTAATGGAGACTTAACATCAAGGGGAGGTTGTGGAGGGGGAGGTGGAAGGTGTGGGAGATTGGGAAGCTCTCAACTCTCCGCCCCGCCTGCCGCGAGGGACCGCAGACGCGACGTCCATGTACGGGTGCATTTTTCCAGCCCACCGTGTAGCGTTGCCATTAGGGATTCCATGGTATAGATCTCATCAGTTTTATCCATCCATTGCGGGAAGGTGGGGGCACTACTTTGCTTCAATAATGCAGGAATTAGGGATTTGACGGTCGTTAGTAGGTGTTTCGTCAGGGATTTCTTATATGTTGGAAGAGTTGTGTCCGTGTGGTGCAGAAGCATGGGGATTGGCTGGAGCGGCACTTCGATGTCTGTCATCTGCCGAGTCTCTATGCGCACCATTGTCCAGAAAGGAGTTATGACCGGGAAGTTCCACCAAATGTGGAGAGCGTTGCCAACGGTGTTGCCGCACCTCCAACATTTGTCCGTATTTCCGCTTTTATGCGGTGTAGTGTGTCAGGGGTCCTATACCAGTGAGGCAGCAACTTTAAGCTCATCTCCTGGAACTAATGGAGCATTTATGTGTGAGTATGAATATTTTCTCCCATTCCTGCATGCTTAGAGTGACTCCAGTCTCCCTTTCCCATTTAGCTATGAATTTCAGGGTTGGTGTGTTTTCCCTAGTGAGGAGTAGTCCATATAAGAAGGAAACCCCTTTCTCTAGGTGACGTCACCAAGGATGTCTGTCAGGGGTTTAAGTCAGGCCCCTTGTAGGAATGGCTGAACGTACGTCCAGTCGGAGTTTGCGAATAGTAGTAGGTCAGCCGGCGTCAGTCCACCTCCCACGTCTGGGTTGTGTGTGATGGGCGTCAGTGGGCTGGGGGAGGTGTTTAGTTGTTGGGGGTACCGTAGAGTACACCAAACTCACAGTGTGGCATCTATCATAGGGTTGCTAGTTCGGAGAAAGCTATACATCATGGTGCCAAGCCATAGACGGGAGGGTAGAGTACCCTTCACCTGTGAGAGTTCCATGTCGGTCTACATCTTGGTGGTTGGGTGAGCGTGCCAGTCCACAAGTCTAAGGAGATGTGTAGTGTGGTAGTACACCAGGACGGACATGAGCTCGGTGCCCCTTTGAGTTTTAGGGCATTCCAGTTGTGCCTTACTAATCCTGGATGCCCTCCTACTCCATACCAACCTCTATATTGTGGTGGAGAGGGACTGAAAGAAGGCTCTTGGTATGGTTGCCGGAACCGTCTGAAACAGGTATAAAAGATGTGGGAGGATGTTTATCTTCACCTCTTTGGTACGGCCGAACCAGGAAACGTATAGGCCTGACCAACGGTGTAGATCGGTCTGTATGGCTATAAGACTGGGGAGGAAGTTCTTTTGGTACAAGTGTCTCAGATCCTTCAGCAGCCAGACTCCAAGGTATTTGAGCTTAACCGCGCCCCAAGTAAAATGAAATTGTGATTTCAGGTGAAGTCCCCTGTCTGCTGGGAGCGTGACGTTGAGAGCCTCCGATTTGCTCATGTTCAGCTTCAGGTTTGACAGATTTCTGAACTCTCTGAAGGCATGGAGAAGGTTTGGCAGGGAGACTAGCAGATTGTCCAGGAAGAAAAGCATGTCATCCGCATATGCAGCTACCCTTTGTTCCGTATTGTGTAGTTTGTACCCCGTAATGCCCCTATCTCGTCTGACCGCCTCCAGAAATGGTTCTAGAGTGAAGGCAAACAGGAGGGGGTATAGGGGGCATCCTTGTCTGGTGCCATTCCAGATGGAGAAAAGAGCTGAAAATGCACCATTAATCTGAATGTGGGCTGACGGGGTCGTGTAGAGAGCCATCACCCAGGAGCGGAGGTGAGGGCTAAATCACATGTGCCGAAGCGTGGCTTCAAGGTATGTTCAGTCGAAGGTTTTTTCCGCATCCATGGAAACAAGCACTAGGTCCTTATGTGTCGATGGGGCGGAGTGGGCTATGTTGAGGGTGTTGTCCCTTGCCTCCCTACTGGGGTCCTAATCCCCATCCCATCCTGCCCTTTGATCAAATGTATGTGGTTTTGCCTCTGTCTCTGTTGCAGGGTGCATGCTAGTAACCTACCTCATTTGTTGGAGAATTCATAGAAATGTCAGTTACATTTTCAGATAGTGTGTAGTAGTTTTTGGGAGAGTAAATCTTTGCGTTGTCTGCGAGTGTCAGTTAATTGCAAGTATGTGTCTTCCGTCAGTTCCCTCTTATGTCGTGTCTCTAGGTCTGCTATTTTACGTGTTAAGTGTAACATGTGGGCGATGTATTCTTTTTTCCGTTGGGTGCAGTGTTTGATGAAGTGTCCCCTAATTAAGCGTTTATGTGCTTCCCACACTGTCAAAGGTGCCTCATTGTCCATGATGTATTGGGTTAGCATTTGTGTTGTTTGTGTCACAAGGTTGGTGTCTGTCAGCACATTTTCATTAAGTTTCCATTGGAATTCCCGTGGTTTGAAAAGTGGTGATTTAAGGGTGGCAAGGACTGGGGCATGGTCTGATTCGTGTTGGATCCCTATGATGGAGGTGCTCAGGATGGGAGGCATTCCTGGGCAAGCAATATGTAGACAATTCTACTGTATCCAAACAAGAGCAATAAAGTATACACACTATACAAAATTATATAAAAATCATATATAAGGGAGAGATACCAGGTGTACCTCACTAACACCTAAAACACATATAATTAAAAAGACAAAGTGGAAACACCTCCCAAATACGTGATAATATAAGAACAAATTCAAATAACCTGAAATATTGGTTGTAATTCATAAACGGAATCTATATAGAAGATAAAAAACTGACATAGCGTAATACAGTACTAAATAGGTGATAAATAGGTATATATCACTCACCTATTTAGTACTGTATTATGCTATGTCAGTTTTTTATCTTCTATATAGATTCTGTTTATGAATTACAACCTATATTTCAGGTTATTTGAATTTGTTCTTATATTATCACGTATTTGGGATGTGTTTCCACTTTGTCTTTTTGATTCTACTGTATCGATTGTGTGCTGCAGAGTAGCATGTGATGTCTTTCGCGTCGGGGTGCACCACCCTCCAGCAGTCGGTCAGTCCCGTCTGTGTAGTGCCTGTTTGGCCTTCCGAATGCAGTGAGATGGGATGGTACTGGTACCCCTAAAGGAGTCTATGCGCGGGTCCAGTGGTAGGTCGAGATCTCCAGATAGCACCAGGGTGCCGTCGCGGATCCCCTCCAGGAGGGCTAAGGTTTTAGCAAAGAATAGGTATCGTCCTTTGTTAGGGCAGTAAACTGTGGAGAAGGTGTATTTCTGGTCTGCTATAGTGCCTTTTACAAATAGAAATCTGCCCAAAGGGTCCGTGTGTCGCGGTACATTGGAACGGCACAGTTTGGGCAAAAATGATCACCACGCCTGCACGTTTAACGTCAGGGTTGTTTGTGTAGTATCCTAGGGGGTACCGTCTATCTGTAATACTGGGGGCATTATTCCAGTTAAAATGTATTTCTTGCAGGAATGCGAGGTGTAGCAGGCTGTCGGTGGGCATCAGCAAGTGGTTTTGCTATCAGGGAAAGATCCAGTTGGTCAGCGGCAAAGTGCGAGAGGATCGTGTGGCAATATCCCTGAGTACATTGCAAGCATGTTAAACATTTAAAACATAATAAACATACCATACTTGAGAAACAAGAGTGCATAAAGTCCCATTACGTCTGCGCCCAGCTCAGCCCAGTCTTCCCGGACCCCCCTGTTGAGCGTCAGCTCAGCGCAGCCCTCCTAAGACCCAAGTGAGAGTTCACCCTAGCCCCCTCTCCCTCTGTGCACTTTGGGGAGATAGGGTCTGTGTGCACACTTCCTTGGGGCCCTTACTGTGACATGGGCTATGTTGATTCGAGTAGGGCTGTGTAGGTGGTTACAGACTGCGAGTCCCTGTGTTATAGACCATATGGGCGCTTCATTAGGGGCGTGAACAAGCAAACAAGGGGATGTAGGACCCAGACAAAGCCCAGAGCGGACATGGCCATGGCCATGGCCTGAGGTTCCCAGCTGTCCCCCCCACCAAACCGCAGGTTCCCCTCCCCAGAATCGTCCCCCAGGGTAAAACGCTGTACTTAGCTGTGGTGGTCCATGTACCTCCTCGGATTATCCAGGGCAGAGGAGGTGAGAAACATGGGCAGATGGGGAACAGAGACAAGTATTGTCCTTCCGAGCTTGGAGACTAAATGGAAAACTTATAAGGTATGCGTTTCTCTTGGAGGAGGCGTGTGAGTGGCCACATGGCCCGGCAGGCATCCAGTGTGAGGGATGAGAGGTCCTGGTAAAGGAACACTGAGTCATCTTGGAAGGTGATGGTCTGCGGCATAGTCGCCCGCATGATTGCCTCCTTGAGCTCAAAAGATAGCGTTGTGGGGTAGGCCTTCTCTCCTTGGGGGCTGGAGGGTTCTCTGTGTCCTCTCGATGTGGTAGTCCTCTTTGGCCTCTTTCCCGAGCACATATGTGAATAGCATTGTCAGGACCTCATGGAGGTCTTTATTTTCCACATCCGGTAGGCCCCTGACGTGGATTTTGTTGGGTCTCCCCCGGTTATCCAAATCCCCCCCCTACCTGTGTAGGTGCAGGATCACAGTTTCCTGCCTGGCTGTGGCATGGTCTGTGGACTGTGAGTGCTGGATGGCTTGCATGTTTTCGGACTCTAGTTCAGAGACCTGCTGCTCCAGTGCTGTAAGATCACTGCGCACTTCCATGATCTCCTCCAGGATCACCGTCCGGAGCTCGGTCACTATGGCGGTTTTGTCTTTTTTAGTGACCATGTTAGCCAAGATAGACACCAGCTCCGTGGAAATGTGTCAGGGTTTCCCCTTTCGCTGAGCTCAGCAGTGATTCTGCTATGCTATCCGATCCCAGGGAGGCAGGCGCCATATTGTTAGCAGGCCGCGTGGGTTGAAGGCTGTCTGGGGTGAATAAGAAATCGTCCATCAGGCTGGCATTTCTCCTCGGTGGGCTAGTGCCAGAGGGTCCCGGGGTGCCTAGGTGTCAGGTTTTCCCCATGGGTGCAGTAGGTTGGCAGTTATACAGGGCTATGTGGGCTGAAGTCACTGAGCCTCTGTGGCATGCAACCTACTCCATTAGCCGGCAAGCCATGCCCCCTCAGGAACCTTTATCTGGAACAATAAACGACAGAGGGTCCCGAAACATCCTATATTGCTCAAAGGGTACAGGTGGTTTAGGATATCACTCGAACCCATGTTTACTTGATTACTGGCATCGGTGTCCCCTATGTTCACTAAGCTTCCCTAACTATACTCAGCTTCTATAATTTATGGCAGACAAACTATTATCATAAATGAGCTGTACAACAAGGAAAAACACTATGTTTATAACATATATACAGAGTGGGAGAAAACGTATAAAGAAGTTAACTATCTGTTCATTACCTCCCTTTGCTCCTTATATGTTCCGGGTGCTGCGACACCCCTGACTTTTTCAACCTAGTGTCGATACAAACGTTTCCTTTTATGTCTGTCTGTCTTGTATTGCATTGTTATATTATGTCAACATAAAAATAAAGAATATATATAAACTTAACATAGTCAAACAATAAAGTGGCTTAATTACTTCAAACATAATGAAAAGAAAATACATTTTTACACCTTTTTAATTTCTTTGTGTACCGAGTAACCCTAACTGGTGCTACAAATCTGAAATAAATAAATACGGCAATGAAATGAGAAAAAAACAAACAAAAAAACAAGATACATTTTACTGATGTACCAATGAGGAAATAAAAATTGCAAATTGTAAGTAGGTAAATACATTTAATTCAACTAGAACATTGCAGGTGACAGGAACACATTAAATATTGATTTATCATCATGGATATTGATTTAATACCTGTCAAAGGTTTTCTATAAAGAATGTTATTTTTACATTTTTTCATTCAGTTATATTAAAAATTGTATTTTGGATTTCAGTTATAGAAAATACACAAGGAAATGAGTGCACACTCAAAACAATTATACATATGTTAAATTTATTTATAACACATATCTTAAAGGATTAGTCAAACCATATATAACTACTACAGCCCACTGTTGTGGTTATAATGGTAAAAGTACCCTGGCTCTCTTCTCCAGTAATAGGAAAAACTGTTTAACAATGGTTTGCTCTCTTACCTGGTCCTGCCTCGAGCCGAGTCTCTCCAGTATTCAAGATTATAACATCTGGCTTATGCAGAGTTGCAGAATTCTGATGTCAATACTTCTGCTCATTCATTGGCTGAGAGCTTCAGCTGACTGCTCACGGCCAATGAATCAGAGTGTGTGTATCAAAATTTGCATAGAACTGATATTAGACAACCCTGATTTCATGAACTAGGTAAGATGATGATGCCCCATGGCGCTGCCAGAGGGGAAGTTACATCAACAGCAGAAAGGAAGTTAAGCTCTTTATGTGCAGTATTGTACAACAAAATGCTGTACATACAGACTCCAGGCACTGTAACCACTTCAAATCAGTAAAATGGTCACATAGCTTGGAGTATCCCTTTAACTGAAAATAGGGATTTATTCTCACCACATGACCATATTGCACATTGCCCTCTTCTATGATAGGATGAGACTTTTGCATTCCTGAAGTTCATTAAATGGTCTGTCACATTACATTGGACAAAATAAAAAATATTTAACCATGTTAGTTTAGCCTGAGCTTGGCACTACTATTGCTAACTAATAGGGAAATTATAATTACATATCTAAGACTTCTCGACATGTTAAAGTGTACCTGTCAAGCCAGATACAACCTATACTTATTTTAAAGAGCATTACATTACATCTATACATTTGCTAGCACATTTACTACTAAAGGTATAGATTTGTAGAAAAACCTATTTAAAGGAACACTCCAGCCCTCTAAAGCACTTTACTTCAGACCTCTGAAGCACTTTACCCTGCCAATTACAGACGCTTACAATGGAATTACAGACCCCTACAGCATTCCACTCCCAGCAGCCTTCACTTAGAATACAGACAAAAATCAATTAAGATAATTTACGCAAAGTTGATATTTGGATGTAACTTACTCTACGTCCCTGTCCCAAAAACATAAAGATCTCCAGGTGTAAATGAGAATTGTTCACATTTATTCTGGTAAAGGCAAAAAAGTAATTAAAATCTAAAACACAAAAAGACAAAGAGTGAGGAAAGTGAAAAGGTCTACACATACAACAAAAAAAGAGAACACAAGAGAAGAAGACATACAGAGAGCGAAGAATGAAAGGAGCTCTACACATACAACAAAGAAAAAAAAGAGAAAGTATAGATATGAAAGGAATCTTTAATTTAAGTGACAACATTTTAAGTAAGTATATATAATTTTTAAAGAAAGGCTTAAAGTTTGGATTGAGTAATAAAATGGATACATTTTTCAAATGTATATTGAGCTAAATAAGTTGAAAAGGAAAATATATATTTTTTTGTATGAAATATCCAGGAAACATTATAATGAAAGAAAGAGATACAAATTCAATTTTTAAACATACACAATTAAAAGAAAGATCAACGTTCTTTACACGAAATATGATTTTGGAGGAAACCACTTTTGAGACTCTAGTAATGGAAGAATTAAGACAACTAGAAAAAAAGGACATTTTTAAAGTCAATTGATCCCACGAGAATTTAAAGTGCGTAGCAGAATTACAAAATTATGAAAAATATTAAACCTGCTGATAAGAGGGGGAATGGGTAGATTTAATGTCTAATGACAAGTATAATAGGGAAGCAAGAAGGATTTTAAATGATGAAAGTACATATAACAATGTATTTTAAAAACAGACTCCACAAGTGAAAACAAAACAAATATTTAAAAATGTATTAGATAAATGAATATTGCTTAAGGAATGTTGACAAAAATTTAGTTCAATTGCAAAAAAATCCGTTTTTCACCTCCTCCCAAAGGTATGTAAGGATTTTTTTAACAGCTCAACAGCGGCATACACTTTCTATTCATCTGCAAGAAAAGACAGCTGATCCCCAAAGGCCTAAAAATCAAAAATCCACGTGCTATTATGCACAAATCGCAGTATGCTGAAAACCTGTGTAAACACACTGGTGAAAAACTAAAGAACCATCTCATCCACCAGCTCTACAACAAGAAATATAGCATACAACATAAAAAACAATATCTACTCCAAAATCTACATGAGTATAATACATATATTGCTGAACAACTAGAACATGATCTACACAATTTTTACAAAAAGTAACAACAGGACTTTTTTAAGAAGAAAAATATTAGACTCATCAGACTCTAGAAGGATTATCACAAACATCTGGCAGAGAAAAAGAAATGGCAAGATAAAACTGGTATTGTTAACATTTTGGATTATAAACTATCTGAATCAGAAGCATCAGTTCTCTCCAATGGATTATTATTTTGCCCTAGTGCAAAACTTGATGACATTGGGTTCTACTCTGACGTGGAAGAATTTTTCAGAAGGATACGACTTAAGGAATACTTCCATGACAAAGAGAACACTGAAACCACAATGGATTACAATAGGAAAAAGAACACTAATATCACTCCAGCACAGGATGAAATGCCAAACTGGACAGTTACATTGAAAGTTTCCGTCTAAAAACAGTATCCTCGACAACCAAGCAAAACCAAGAGAAAATGTTTCATAATTTCTCAGTACAGAAACAAACTGCAATAAATGACCTAAAAAATAATCATGCTATCACCATCAAACCAGCAGACAAGGGAGGAGCAATAGTGATAATGAACACCCAGGACTACATAAAAGAGGTGGACATGCAATTGTCAGATGACAAATACTATAGAAAACTAAATGAAGACCCCACCAAGGAATATACATTACAACTTAGGGAGCTCATTAAATCATTCCCTGAGAATTTGCATCTAGAACTGCAATCACTCATACTAACTAGTCCCTACATGGGCACTTTCTAAATACTTCCCAAAATCCACAAAGCAGGTAATCCTGGAAGACCCATAATTACAGGAATGGGAACTCTCACAGAACAGATCTCAGGACTGGTAGAAAATACCCTAAAACCTCTAGTCACCAACAGCTTCATAAAAGACACAACCGACCTCCTCAACAAACTCAGCCAAATCACCAATCTCCCTGCTAACACCATTCCTGTAACCATGGATGTGGAATCTCTGTAGAGAAATATTCCACATACAGATGGCATCAATGCTAGCTTCCATTTCCTCTCATATGCCGACAACCAAAAATACAGCCCCCAAATTATCACAGAATTGGCACTATTCATTCTCATACATAATTATTTAAATTTTAACAATGAGGTTTACCTTTAAACCATGGGTAATGCTATGGGCACTAAGATGGCACCCTAATATGCTAATCTGCTTATGGCAGATCTTGAACAGAGATTACTAGAAATACAGCACACCAAATCATACAAATATTATCGCTATATCGATGATACCTTCATAATTTGGACTGAAAGAGAAGAAAAACTGGTACAGTTCCATGACTCTTTTAACACATTCCATCCATAAATCAAACTAAAAATTGAATATTCCACTAGATCTGTGATTTTTCTGGACACCACTATGACATGTAACAATGGCACAATACACATCTCGGTTTACAGAAAACCCACAGACAGGTGCAGTTACCTTCACAGCTCCAGCTTCCACCCCTCCCATACTAAACAGGGTATCATATACAGCCAAGCCACTAGGTACCATCGCATATGCTCTGATCCTAATGACCGTAATTTCCATCTAAATGTACTCTCCCAATCTATGAGACAGAAAGGTT